TCGCGCGGCCCTGCCAGGAACCGGCCCCAGGTGAACGCTGCCTGCGCTCCAAACCGCGGCTTGCAGAAGTGCAACAAGCATCTCTCAGTAGCCTGTGAACAATTTGTATAGGAAATGCCATGAAGTCAAATGCTGTCATTATCACTGAAGCTTTCAGATTCACCCGTTATTTTATGCTGCGCTCGCGGTACGTTTGAAAACGTGGTTCCCGTGGCTCTAAGCTCCTTTTTGTCTGCTTAGAGCAGAGTTCTGGTTTCTAGAGTTACCATGTAAAAAGGCATCTTCTTACTCAGCAGATCTGCTCCCTGTTTGCGTTCATTGTGATAGCTGCTGACTTCAGTGCCGAGCAAGTTTTTACTGCTTTTTGTTCCTGCCAGCGCTGCAAAGCTTACCGCCTCGGGAGCCTGCGAGCGGGGTCCTGCCCCGGCACTGCCCCACCGCCGGGACGGCCGCAACCCCCGGCGGGCTCCTCAGAGCCTTCCCAGGAAAGCGGGGTGTATAAACCCAACGTAAGCTGTAGCTGGACCTGGATCACCCTCCTTACGTGTCATAAATAAACAAGCAGAAGAATTCACCTTGCTCTGATCTGAGCGTAAGTTTTCAGGAAAGGTAATTTAGACCGATTTGCTTTACATGCAAATTGCAGTGACCAACCAGACAGTTCTGGCAGTTTCACAGTCGCTTTGCAGAGCAAAATGGCACATCCACTGCTCTGTTGTCCAAACAAGAGCAAATGTAGCCACAGGATCAACTTGGCCCAATGTTTTTGAAGTTTCCTCGATGTCTTGTTTTATTCGGTCATAAAAGACAAAGTGTGGACTATGACAAAAGTATCACTTACTAATGCTCAGAAATAATCTAAGCAAAATTGTTGATGATTAAATGTGTATCTTTGCTTGTAGCAAACTCACCACTTCCATCTGCAGCTCATCCCCGTACTCTCTCCTCTTACATCCTGGTTGATCAGAGCGACCCCAGTCAGAGACTTCCTAGGTGACTTGGGCATACCTAGGAGGCCAGCGTGCCAAGGCCCAGCGCCCCTGCAGCGTCTCCAGCCGGCATGAGATGCGCAGCCCCGCTGCTCGGCCCCACCGCTGCGCCAGCCCTGCGTCCCGCTCTCGGCCGCCAGCCGGGGTAGTGAAACAGGAGCACTCGCGTCCAGAGCAAAGCAAAATCCGGGCTCTCGGTTAAACACAAATAATAATTCAATACATCTGTATCCGTAATTTTCCCTTCTAGTAGGGATCTTAAACTGTTATCTTTAAGATAGATTATCTGGGGTATATCTAAAGATTTGGTTTTTCTTCTCAGAAGTTAATGACTTTTCAATGCAGCATGATGCTCCAGGAACGCACTGGACCTCACAGAGCGGGGCTACAAGAAACCATGTGAAGCCACGTGGCTGATAAACAGAACATCCCCAAATCGTGCTAGTGACGCGTGCAAGCGTCACTTGCTATTTCTGCAATTCTCATTTCTTAATCTGAAAAATTAGTATTAAGAATATGCTACATTTGAGGCATGTAACAGTGCATAACAATGAATAGATAAAAACCATGTTTATGAGACTTCCAAACAGTAACATTTACAAAACAACAATTTAAAATGCATCTCAAGGTCTGGATGAGCTGCATCCCCTTGCTAAATCCCTTTGGATAGGCACCAAACATTTAATGGCGGCACCTTACCATGGCAAATCTGATGAAATAGAGAAACACGCATCATCTTCAGTCGCGTTACTGTGACTGTTACCAGTTAAATAAGTCTAAGAATACCAGATGTTTATGCTGTGATAAAGAAGTGCAGTCATCTTTGCTAAATAATTACCAAATAAACCTTTATCAGTTGGCTTGATTTTTTGTGTGGATTTCTGATGACTAGGTATGATTCGAGATGCCGCTCTGATCTGCTACGATTCGACGTGCTGTCATGTGGCGTTTTTACCAGGAGAAAACTAAGAGCTGCAATGCAGCGGCTCCCAGCTCCGTCCGCCTCCCGGTGGTGGGTGGTGGTGGCGAGGGGCTGACGCCCCGCGCGGGCGGCTGCAGGACCGGCG